CCGGTGGGTCCCGCAGAGACCTGCATTTTAATGTAAAAAAATGATGTAAAAATGTAAAAAAATTAATTTTTTTACACTAATGAATAGGAAAAAAATGCAAAGAAATACTAATGAATAACCCCATTGTCGACAGTAGTTTTTCGCGAAAAATTTACACGCCAGGAGGCCGTGTGGTTTTTCTGCTTTGTGCGTAAGGAAAAAAACAGCAATTTGCTGAATTGCTTCTCACTGAATAACCCCATAAGTATTTTTAATTTGTGGGTGTTGGAAATTTTATGAAGTAGGAACCAACTCTAGGTGTACGAGGAGATTGAGTGCTCATGAATCATGAAGCATGAACAAACTGTTTTTTCAAAAGGAACGAGTAAAAAAGTGGTAAAAATTTTAGCTTTACTTTCGAAATTATACATTGTAAATACGGTAAAAATGGATGTCCAGGAACTCAAAAAAATATGCCTTTCAAATGTTGGTGAATGACAGTTTTCTTCTACTGAGAGAACCGTGAGAACGATACTTCGCTGCGAAGCTTTCGAGGAAGCATGAAGACTCACCAAAAGTATACATCTGAATTGAGGGTAAAAAATAGGTAAACGTGGAAACAGGGGGGAAATGAAGGAGCGGGTGGGAAGGGTCTAAAAAATTGGTAAAACACTTTATGTCCAGCTACCCGCATGAGAAAATCCTCGAAACCAGAAATGTTTCGGGGTAACCAATAGATTTCAAAAAGTCAGTTATGACTGAGAATACGAGTAAAATATCAAATGTGAAACAAAAGGTGATAGATTAGAATTGTAAACCATTGATCGGATGCAAATGTTTAGCTCATCCTTCCATTTTTGGTGGAGTATACCATCCAGATTTTGCGTGAATTTGCTGGAGGGACTTGAATGATTGTTGGGCACGAATCAAGGAGTAAGAATGAGAATGCTGTAAACTTTATCAATAAAATAGTCTTCATCTTTCTGATTTTTCTGAATCTGGGAAGACGGACTACGTACCTTTGGGTCGAATGAAATTCGAGCACGACCTTTGACAAGAGTGGCTGCGATTTGAAGAATACAACTCTCAATCGAATACGCTGATGACCATCCTTGCTTCGTTAGCAACTCCATGCAAATGGCTCCACCGCTCAGGACGAATCCATTGGTGATCTGCAAATCGTTTTTAATAGATCGGATAAAATATATGCTCGTCCGGAAACTTACATGTGGGGCGACAACGCGAACGAATGGAGGGTCGCAAGGGAATTTTTCATTGAATGTGAAGCTGAAGAGAAGATGATCCTGTTTGAGCTCCTTCTTTAACTTTGCCATATCCTCGAACAGCGGTGAGTCTTCATCGACTTTGTGCAACTTCACCCACCATTGATACAAGTTCTCATCCTTTTCCAGCTCAAAAGAATAAACTCCATTTTTGTAATGCTCGCTTCTATGAATATCACGAATCTCTTTCATCAGTCTATCGGTGGCCGTGATTGATCCTTGAACTTTTCCATCGAGATGCTGTTGCCTGTTAACGCGAGAAACCTTGTCCAACATATCGAGACCTTCTTTGGAAACTCCAATATCTTGCTGTGATGTTGGATCTTCTTCTGCCATCTCTACAATCTCAATGTCACCTTCTGCATCTTCATCTTCATCTTCATCCTCCTCTAACTCTCCCTCATCGTCTTCACCGTCTCCCGCCATGTCATCATCGATATGCTAAAAAAAATAAAGAAATCGAACTTCGGCTATTGAATCACCTCTGAAGCAGTGTCACTGATATCACTTCCCCGACCCTCGTCAACGTCATCTCTTGCGGGAGGAGCAATTTGCGGTAATTCGATAGGCGTCTGAAGTCCGTAAAACGAGCAGAGATCCGAAAGTAGGCGATGAACTTGATGAAGGATATTTGTAGACTCTTCTGTTTCAGTGAGCCTCTGAAGCGAAGTTCCGATGATTGGAACATCGTCGGATTCGGAAAACCAAATTGGTGGCTGTCGTGGGTAGTTTTCCTGGATGTTGGCGGTGACAACGATTGCTTGGTTTTCCGCGGTGATAAACTTCATCGACAGCTCATCGACCGACGCACTCATTATCTGTAAAATTTCTGAATTTCGCTGAAACGATATTCATCTATATGTTACCTGGAAGCGGTTGTGCTTTTTGGGAAAGAGCTTTTCCAACAATTGGATGTCTTCTTTCAGCTTACGAAGACACGCCATTTCCCCCTGATTTGGGCTACCTGAAATAAAATCAATAAACACGATCGGAGCGAAAAGAAGAGTCTAATTCGAATGATCAAGTACTAAAAAGCGCCGAGACTTTCAATTTTCGAATAAAATGACTTGTTTTTCGTTCTGCCAACATTTTTCCCTGAATGGGAATCCATTATGGGATGAATGTTCAGCCAAACTACAGTTGGAACTACGATATTGCACATTCTGAATCTTTTTGGAGCTAAATTCGTAAAAATCGAAGTGACGAGTGACAACACAAAGATCTCTCTCGGCCAGACATTGTGAGTGTGGAAGAAGAAAGAAATCAATAGAAGAGAGTGAGAGAGAGACATATTAAAGAGGTGAATGAAAGAGCGCAGTAGACGAGGAGTCGAAGAGAGAAAGAGAGAAGAGTGGCAGCATTGCCAGTGCAGAATCGTCTTAGCACGGATGGAAAGAAAGAAAGGACTATACCCCAATAATAATAGACATTGTTACAAAAACGAAACTCAGTATTTTTATTTTCAATAATTGGGTCTAAAGACAAAAAAATTTCAGATGTATAAGAATAGTCTGTAATTGTTTCTGTGATTGATAAATATTATTGTTAAATACTGTTCTGTACAATAGGCACACCTTGTTATGGGGTTATTCAGTCAGAAGCATAGATATCCCATATCTATGGGATATCTATGGCATATATACAGAACTACTCGAAAAAATAGAAACGAAAAAGGGGAAAGAAACCAAGCTTCATGGAGGTCGAAGAGCAAAACTGAATTTTTACTATTAGCTCTTCCAACAGTGCGAAACTTGTGTGAATCATCCTGTTTATGGAATGAAAAGGATTCTTTAAAAAGAACCAAAACAAATGGTACGGCTGTTTACATTTACATCTGACTATATTGTCAACATCATCATTTGATTGAGAAACTGAATCAGCTGACTATCTAAATATATAAAGTTAAGACTTATTGTACAAGAGGACGAATGTGTTAAGAGAGACAGTGTACGTTTCGAAGCACACATTTCGATAACGACATGAAAAACACGGGAAGGACAAAAAGAAACAAGTTTTGGTCGTCGATTCCGCGCGGAAAGTGCAATCTGAATTGGAGGGAGGTTTGGCGAAAAATTGAGAAATAGAGAGCAAGAATGAATCTATGGAGCTTTAGATCTTTTACCGACTGGTTCAGCGTATGCTACAAACTAAGTATGGTTTCCACCAAAATTGGAGAAGACATATCTCATCTCATGGTTTTACCAAAATCATTTAAAACTTCTATATTTCTCACCCATAATATATTACGAACATTCAAAATACTATTCATGAATATATTCATAAGTTTTGTAATGAATTTAGACTTGTTTTAAACAGACCAGTTCTAAAAAGAACGAAAATTAACTGATAAGGGCACACTAAATATTTTAGATAATTTTGTAAAATATAAAAATTTAGGTCTACGGTAGCACTTATACATAAGTATGATACAAAAAATGATATCAAATTATTTGAAATAGAAAAAAGAAATGAACAGCACCTAGCTTTTTTCATCAAAAAGAAAATCATTGAAGCATACTTGTAAAATTCCGGGCCGGCCCGGCCCGGCTCGAGCCCGTGCCCGGTAGCAAAATTTTTGTCATTTTGAACCGAATTTTGAGCTCTCAATACACCTTTCTATATTTTTTTTTGTGCTTTTTAGATTGTTTTTCTGTTTGATCAAAAAATATCAAAACAAAAACTCGAAAAAAATTTTTTGATCGAAAAAAAATCACATAAGGGTCCCTCCTTATGTGTTTTTTGAAATTTTCAACACTTGTGGAATGACAGGCCCGCCGGGCCGGGCCTCCGAAATTCGGGGAAAAGCCCGGCCCGGCCCGGTCCGTTACAAGTATGCATTAAAGTATTTGGACGGAAGACAAAAAAAGAACTTTCAATCAGTTTTTTAAAAAAGGTGGGTTCATCATGTCTTCAGACCTCTTCTCTACTTGTCACCCAGAGACACACGACATTTTGTAAGAAGAGAACTAGCTGACACTGTCGATTGTTTGGAAAAGAGACGAAGAAATTGAGGGAGTGTGTAAATACCAGAATGCGCAGACAACGCAACGAGAGAGATCTGCAGTTTCTTTTTTTGCTCACATTTCCTCTCGTAATAAAATTAAAAAGAACAGAGTCTATGAGGGTATCGAGGAATTTTCATTGAAGAGCAGAAACGAGAAATGCATACCGTACCAGAGATGAAATTACTTCTTTGAAATACGGAATTCTGAATAAAATACATTTCTCGGAATCCGAGATTCGTATTACATACATTTTTTAAAGAATCCGGAATGAAAAAAAAAAGACAAAAACAAGGATATGGACTACGGTGTCCTGAATTCGAACATCTATGAAATGTTCAACCCCTCCGTCAAAATGTATTTCATATAAATATAGGAGGCACTATTCTTTGTTTATCCAACATTTGTAAAGGATTGATAATCTTTCTTTATCATTCTCAGTCGTTTCAAAAAAAAACATTCCATGTCGAATCTTCTGTAAATTTTGAAGTTCAAATTTCAGGTTCCAAAAGTGACTTTACAAAACTACGCAATCTCACAAGTAAAATCAATCGATCTAAAACCTTCAAAAATATCAATCACTTTTTTATTCATCATAAAAATTAGGTCAGCCGAGTAATTCAAGACTATGAAATCAACGTTTTGAATCAATACATTTTTATGCCAAACACCAGAATATCAGTGAATGTCATATGCACACATTCATTTTTATAACTCCAGAAATCTTTGAGAACACGAGAAGAATAGGTGGAAGTTAATTAACAAAATGGGGGAAAAAACTAGACAATCCTCTTTATAAAACTATTCAGAGGAGGATAGACTCTCATTCACCAACACGTCATTTTCCCCAGAAAAAGAAGAGAGCTGCTCAGTGGACTTGCTCCTTTTCCTCCCTCCACACTCTACATGTACATTCATAAGGCTCTTCAGTATGAGAGATTTCAAAGTCTTTGCGAGAAAAGAAAAGCATCAAAGGAAATTTAAAGTTTAATGATATCATGAACTATCTTCCGACTGTCTTATCGTCTGTCAAGTTATCACGTGAATGGGTCACAACAGATTGTTTGGGCGTATTACAAAGATATTTCTTAGAAAAATGTCTCCGAGAACACCAAATCAAAGAATGGAAAAAAGGAAATTCGGGAGCTTTGATTTCATGTAAGATCCAGGCTCATATTCAAAAGTGTAAATTAAACACAGAAATTGATATAGAATAAATTTATTAGTCCATCAGATCACACTCATTTACTCAAGTTCGACAACTTCTGGTTGAGAGATTGAAGTTTGTATAGATTGTCAATAAGCTTCTTCTGCTTTCTGATCACTTCCCGCTGCAAACGAACTTGAGTGAGAAGTCTGCTTGGTCTAGAAATAATCGTGGTGGAAGAGGAGAATGTAGAAGTAGAGCTTGATTGACCCGACGATGGAGATGATGTGAAGCCATCTGATGAAGAAGTCAGTGTCAGCTCTGAAAATTTTAATATAAATGAAAGAGAAAATTATTCGATACAGTACCATCATCTGCCATTTCATCTGTGTTCTGTTCGGCCATCTTGTAGAACTTCATTGAGTCAACAGGAGACTTCACAAAAACTGGAAGCTGTGGGAATGTTGGCTGATCCGGTGAGTTCCACACAAGAGGCTCACTCTTCTGTTGCGTGTTCTCCTTCTGGATCACCTCGAGAAACTCCTCAAACTTTCCAAAAATGGAAGCCACTGATGATGTGGATGTAGCAGCGAACAAGCCATCCATCTTCTCAAAAATCGAAGCGATCTGATCTTCGTTTTCAGTTTTCGGCTTGCGAGCAGTGACATGGATCTTCCAGAATGACATCATCAACTCCGTTGCCTTGTTGAGCTTTTTTGTTTCAATGGTAGTTGGAATCGGAGAGACAGCCATTGGTTCAGCAGGGCGAACAAGTGTGAAGGAAACCAATGGGCAGCTCACCGACTTCTTGACAAGATCCAAGCATTTTGGAGTTGAACCATCCACAGGGCAGGAGTGAACGGAGAAGTCACGATTCTGTAAATATGATTTACGGCAAAAGAACTACACAATTCAGCACTAACTGAGTTCAAAGCATTCTGATAGTCGCTCAATGGATGATCGATGGTACAGAGATCAGTGACCAACTCCTTCTTTTGCTCCTTCTCCAGTTCCACTTGACGCTCAACCATCGCCATGAAATGGCCGAAAGCAGTGTAGATCGTGATCGTCTTGACCATGTTAGAGTGTTAGTTAAGGGTTAGTAGTGAGTAGATTTGTTAGTTAAGACAGTGGATACTGTATTGAAGATTCTGGAGAAACAATTTTCTTTTATGCGACTTCTTATCTTGATGGACTAATTGTACAAGAAGGGTGACCACTTTTAAATGGTACAATTTGTTTTTTTAGTAATGAGTTGCTTGGGAAAATCAAAGCATCTGTCATGGTAAACCATGGTTTGCACGTGAACTGGTACCACGACTCATTTTTGATCTTTGATTGGTGCTATAAAGAAAGCTTTGCTTCAGGAAGTTCTATCAGTTTCTTCGAATCTTAAATCCAAGTTACATTTGGTTTTCACACATCCTCATCATGCCACCTAAAGCTAAAAGTAGGCGGAACTCATATTTTCCAAAATTTTAAATTACGGGCTGGACCGATGTCGAGCCGGCCTGCAGTTTGTATGCCGGGCCAAGAAAATTCTTGATTCGGCCCGGCCCAGTCCGGCCCGTTTAAAGAATGATATTTTCTATCCATAATGTCGGACACTTTCAGAACCTCCTGCAGGAAAAAAGAAGAGTAAAGCAAGTAAACGTCCCAGCCAAACTAACTTGAATGTTGACAATGGACGCGGTCGTCGGAACACGGAAAGAAGTGTGATGCAGACACTGGAGCAAGAGGAGCCCACAGCAAACAACGATGGTGTTCAGAAACCAGCCAATGGCAAACCAAAGGATATGACTAGAACTATGATGTTGCCACCAGCACCGATGCCCAATCAGATACCTCCCTCCACTCCTCAAGTTCCCCTTCCACCAGCTCAAGGATCTCAAATGCCACAGGTTGCACCCCAAATGAATCCGCTCGTGCCACCTAGTCGTCCACCACCTCAACTACCGGTTCAAGGATCTCAAATTCCTCAAATGCAAATGCCTCCTGCCACTCCGATGCCTCCTGCTCCACGTCCACCACCTGGAGTGGTAAACCAGTCATTGGCTTCTCCATCTCCATCTCCGAGTCAAGCTCAACTTGGACCAACTAAACCACCAGTTGTAGCTCCTCAACAAGGTGTTGTTGCACAACCATCTCCAGCACCACCAGCACCACCACAGGAACCCTTCAGAAAAGCTTCTCGAGAAAAAGATGACGGATCTGTCGATATGGCTGAAACATCAGACAAAAAGTACTATTGTATAGTTGTATTGATAATCAAAATTATAATTTCAGAAAGAAAACGGACGTGATCAACAGCTGGCTTCGTTTGGTTCTTCAGAGTGGTGTTGAGGGACTGAAGAAGGAGTATCGTGATAGTTTCAATGAGGCACCAATGGAAAGAGCAACTGTCTTTTTGGACAATCCAACGAGAAACCGTTATCACAATATCCCATGTTGTGATACAACTCGCGTCAAGTTGGCGGATGATCCATATTTTTACATCCATGCAAATTTAGTCTCGTAAGTGGGCCTCCCTAATAGAACGTCACAAACCCATTAATTCGAATAACCTGGAATTTTAACTCGAACCATTTCTTCGCAGGTCTGGCCCAAACCCTCGCAGATTCATTTGCACACAAGCACCTCTCAATGGGACTATTGAAGATTTCTGGAAGATGGTGATTGTATCTGGTCTGGAGTATATTGTGATGCTGTGTGAACTGGTTGAGAAAGGAAAACCAAAAAGTGCTGAATACTTTCCGTTGAAAATAGGAGACACTATGAAGATTGGAAAGTTATGCACTATCACCAAGGAATCAAGTGTCGATGTAAGTGAATTTTCTTTTATGAAATTTGAAAATTCCTATTTTTCAAAATTAGGAATTTGAAATAAACATTTTGAAAATTGGAAAATTAAAAATCCAGAAATTTGAATCGGATTTGTTTCTGATTTTTCGAAAGCTTCGGAAATTCAATAATTTTGGAACTCGGACACTCAATGTCAAAAATTCTGAATATTGGAATTTCGAAAGAAATTTAAAAATTCAAAAAATCAAAATTCCGATTTTTTCTTTGAAAAATCTTAAAGGGGGACTCCGACCAAAAATTTTTTTTACATTAAAATGTGTTAAAAGTTATCTGTTCTTCAAATATTATTACGAAAAAATTAGGTTTCTCACTGAAAATCCTCGTCCCCCGGCGGCACCTTTTTTTGAATTTTCTTCCTTTTCAACGCCGTTTTTCGGGGATTTCGGATTTTTTTTTGAATTTTTTCGCATGAATATTCGGAAAATAGATAACTTTTAACACATTTTAATGCAATAAAAATTTTTGGTCGGAGTCCCCCTTTAAAACCCAAAAAGTCGTTAATTTTTTCAAACTTTTGTTCAAAGCTTGTTTCTAGAAATCCAAAAATCTGAAATTCCGGAGTTCCAAAAATTTTAAATTCCAAAATTCTGAAATTCCAAAATTTCAAAATTCCAAAATGCTAAAATTTAGTAATTCGGAAAAGCAATTTTTCAGATTGACAAAACGCTCTCAATGTCAACAATGCGAATTTCAAAGCCCGGAGATAACAACGTTGCCAAAATTGTCAAGCACATTCATTGGAGGAACTGGCCAGATCACGGAGTTCCTGATAACTTCTTCTCGCCCTTCCGTCTTTTGACTGTTGTGAAAAGTTGCACGTCAGTTGACCACATTATTGTTGAAATTCCCAAAAATATGTTTCAGGAAGCCGGTGGTTGTTCATTGCTCAGCGGGTATTGGTAGAACTGGAACTCTTGTTCTCATCCTCATCGTTTTGGAGTCTCTGTGCGCCCCCGACTTTCTTGGAGTACCACGTCTTCTGACCAAGCTTCGAGACGAGCGATTCAAATCAATTCAGACTGAGATGCAATACCTCTATGTTCATCGTTGCATCCTGGAATACTTGGTCCTGAAGAAATACACTTACTCCCGTGAAGACTACAACAAATTCGCAAAGGAGTATGAGCAAACACTAGCAGCATGCGCCAAAGAATAAAAATCTCAGCAGGAATCTAATTTGTCTTACTACTGTGTTTTTATAAATGAAGATCCGTTTTCAAGTACTTTTCTTCTGTTCTATTTCCTTGGGGAAAATATGGGGGTGGCGCTGTATCTATTGGGTTTAGAAAATCCTATAAAACTTGGTCCATAGACAATATATAATATTTCAAGCAATATCATTTTGTAGCTCTATAGTTTCCCTATCATATACTTTTTGTTCGTCGAAAAATATTGACGTTGGAAAAAGTTATTAGTCCTCTCTCGTTTTCTGCCTGTTTTTGGCCCGTTTGTAGTCAATTAAGCTAGGTGGGCGTCTTACTTAATCATGACCTACTTTCCTTGATTTTGAATTGTTTGGGTCCGTTTTCTATTCATGTTTATCGAGGCTAGCACAAGACTAACTTTGAATCATCATGGTTTCGATGGAATTTAAATGTTTATCACAGAGACTGATGAATTCATTAGTAAATAACGTGCAGTTGATTTTGTAAGTAGGTGTGAGAAAGATCACAATAATAAAAAAACATATGACAGAAGAAAAATAACTCGTAATCTAAAATGAAATTATGCATTAGTTTAGAGATTGTTAAAGAGAGTTCAATGCTTTGATAAAAGTTGCAAATGATGTTCGTAGGATTTCTGTTGATCTTGAATAACTGAAAGTATTTTACGATCCACATCTATACGATTTCCTATGAATGTATCCTTATACTTCCAATTTTCCCATGCTTCCCCATTAGAACATTTTGTTAGATTCCATGGTTTGTCATAGACAAGTGGTGAATGCCATCTGGCGAAGACCATCGCGTCCTGGCGTCTGAAAACTTGATAGCATTTTTGATTTGAATATTGGATGACTTACTTTTTTTGCCAACCATGAAAAATAAAGTCTCTATCAGACCACACGGAGTCCGTTAGCCAACCATCTCGTGCCCATGTGAACCGTCCCTATAAACATAATGTATCCATTTTTGAGTAGGAAAGTTCAAACCTTTGGCAGAATTTGAATTTCTGCTATCAAGTTGTTCTTGATGATTTCCTGAGCACAAACTGTGTATGTTGACAGACTGTAGTAGTCGGTGGAATTTTTCCAGAATTTATTTTCACAGAAGTCTAATTTGGACTGCAGCTTTGGTAGTTGTTGATTTAGGATGACACTCTACAAAAAAAGGAAATTATACCCCTTCACATAATTATTGCTTCACTTCAATTTTTCTAACGGAATCCCGATTTTGGGCAATTTTCAGAAAAAAATATTCGCGACATTTAATGAATTCCAGACATTTTTTCGGAGTTCTGAGCAGTTATCAATAATATTCAGAAGTGGAAAAAGTATTTTTTAGATCAGAAAAGAAAAGCGCGTTATTTTTGAAAATTGACCTGAAAGAAGACTGCATTAAAAAAACAGGTAGATTAAATAGGACTAACGTGTATGGCTCCGTTATCGGATCCATGAAACGATTGAGGAAGTCTCGACTCGAAAGTAGCCCAGAACATCAGAAAACGTATCGACCATTTGGAGTTTCGAACCAAATAAGAGCCTGCCATCACTTCATGATTCATTATTCTGTTATAGAATACAATTTGTGTCTGGAATGGGAAATTATTGTTGGAAAGGGGAAAAATCAGTTTTCACTGACATTCTCATTTTTTGGTATGTAATCTTCGATTACATTATTTGGATTGATTATCCCCATATCACCATCAAGAAAGAGCAACCAGGTGTTGGATAAAGATGGCATTTTCAGGGAAAGGATGCAATGACGGCGAAACATGAACTATAAAAGTACACATAGACATTGAAAGCACAAAGGGAAGGGTGAAAGGGAAACAAAGCGGGTTAGAGAAGCAGAAGACATACATCTTTTTGTGGACATTTGCTACTCATAGTTGAGTCATCATCCCCATGAATCACATAGACATCGTATTCGAAATGCAGACCGTAACAGCGTACGGTATCCAGCGCCATAGGATATTTGTCCTCATCTTTCACACTGTTCAATACTATCACAATTCCAATACTCTCTCGTTTACCTGAAGAAAAAAAAATCCGTTGATTACATTTTCCTGGACATCACCTTCTCGTGAAACCGTTATGTTCCTAGTGATTTCCTCGTTGTATTGATTTGATAAATAAATGTATCCTCTACCAAGATTACGTTCTTCTAGAACTAGGATACCTAGAACAAACAGGATCAGCCCAATCGCAGTATAGCGTTGATATGCTCGCATCCTGCTTAGGCCGAGAACCTTCCCAAGGTTAGCATCTGAAAATTTTAACAAAGTTTTGATTCCAGCTCAATGCATTCAGCTTACAGGAAAAATTTAAATATTTTTTTTTGGGAACAAACCTCCTCACCATCACTTTATTTTTTTAGATCGCATGCAGGAAACAAGTAAAAATTTTATAACCTGGAATTTGGTTTTCTTATTTAACAACCATATTAATCATACAGAAGCTTTTAATTACATTTTAATCATGTCACAGCATGGGGGAAAAGTGAAAACTTTGGGATGGCACAGAGAAATTAGGATAGAATCATTGTAGCAGCTCAAATACTGAGCGGTTTTCCTTTCACATTTTTCTTGACGAATTCGGTAAAGGTTCGCAAAAATTTGGGATATTCCTTTTTGTAGACATGACGGAGTGCAGAAACAGGAACCCATCCACCAGGGTGAACTGAAAAAATGTCAAAATTTGATTCTCATCCTGAATATAGATTTGTGATGGGAGCGTTTGAAGTATTTAGAATCTTCAAAACCTTTTTGGAGGTTATCTGATAGAAAATTGTGATTTTCGACCGATTCATGTAATGTCGAAAAATGCGGAGGACCTACACTTCTCAACATTGCACAAATGTTTGAAAAAAAACAATCACATGAATAATCCCCTTCGTAATACTTCGAGTGAAACTAACCTTGAGATACATAAATAATATTGCATTGTACATCGTCTCTAGTTAGTTTCCTCTCAATATGTGGATCTTTTATTATAGTTTCGCAAATCATTGAAACCGTCAACCCAACTCGAACTGCAGAAGAGCTTCCGAGCTGAAATCGTGATAATTTGAAAAAGGGAGATTCAAAAATGGCACTAACCGGAACATCGGCTCTCTGAACATCTCGGTTACATACTATATACAAATCGTGGGCGCCATCTCTTTTATGTTCATCAACACGTCGAATATGAGATACGAAAAGAGATTCTCTCGGTGCTGCTGGCCAGATAGTTTTGTGTTTTTGGTGAAGTACTACTGAATCTGGAGAGATATGCTCAACGACACTCATTGCTTCCAGTGTATGATCCCATTGCATTTTGTAACGAGCGTCGTAAAAATAGTGCATGAATTCTAATGCGGTAACTCCATCAACCGAATGAGTGGCTTTCAGTGGATCGACCGGAAGGCCACCTTCATCTTCGACCTGACGTGTGTACATTCTCATCGGCCCATCCTCAGCAAATAGACTCCAGACGTTATCTTCAACTCCAGCAAGAGCATATCTGGATAATTAGAAAAATTAGAATGGTAAAAACAGTTGATTTTATTTTATTGTAAAACTCTTTTATTGAACTATCCTCATATTCAAAAATTTTGCATTTCTATAAATTTCTATAAGGTTTTCAGTAACACCATAAAAGGATAATAACATTAATTGTTCTCCAATCATATTATGATATAGAAAAACTTACTTCAATTGCTCTACAGCCAGCTTATCTATTGTTGAAAACAGCGAATGCTCTTGATCAACCAATAAGTCATCATAGTGGCCGGTTACTGGGTCTCCGTCCTATGATAGATAGATTTTAAGAAAGCTGATAAAAACAACACCTACAACTCTGAAATTGGGTTTCTTATTTTCTTCTTCTTTTTCGATGACGATATTTCCGTTTTCTTCATCTTCTGAAGACGCTTCGATCCGGTTTTTACTCAATGTTGCATCACCATTTTTCGAATCAACATCGAACTCATCAGCGTCAAAAAACTCATCACAATCACTTGTCTGAAATCTGATCAACTTTGAAAATCCAAAAAAAAAACGGATAAACTATTACCACATCAATATCAGGTCTCGCAAGAATCGTCGATGTCGTCATGGTTGAATTATCATCGGACATATATTCCTGTTCAGTAGACTCAAGTCTAAGAACTGATGAAGAGACACTTCTAGTAGCACACAAAGCTTCTCGAACAGGAGGAGGGGTGGTAGAAACTGATGAAGTGGCAGGAGATGAAGTGGCAGGAGACGAAGTTGAATTCTCAGGAATAACAACCTTAAGAATAAAATTGATAACATGATTTTTGGAAAACTTACTTTAGAAGTCTTAACGAGATCCACAATGTGATTTATGTTGACAATTAATGCTAGATGAGTTGCTTTCACAGACAAAATCGTCGCTTGTGGAACAATACAGCTAGCTCCTCCTTGTTCTAGTAGTCTTTCAATGGACATCATCTGATCTTTGCACATGGTTCTATAGGCTTCAAGTTCGGATAGTTTTGTTGAAAATAATTTTGTGACTTCATTCGCATCGTCTGTTTTTTGGTGTATTGAGGCAAGTGCTGATGACACAGATGGATTTCGTGAGTGACTTTTGGTACTGGTAGAGCTGTAGTCCGAGTCATTTTGTATCTGTAATGAATTTATACGAACTTGATGTATATTCTTCAGGCTATTCCAATTCAACACTAGAAAACTCCCGTCTGTAGTCCTTAGTAAGGACTCCTTACGAACTATATGTTGATTTACAGTCTGCCATTGTCCGCACATATTTGCTCTGGACGACAAGGGCGATCAACATTACGGTGTGATGTTCTTGAGTTAAAAATATGGACTGGGTGTTTGAGCTATGATCCCATCACGGTATCATCATTTCAATTCATAGGAGATGAGATGTCGTGGCAATACGATTTTCAATTTGATTCAAAGGGTAACAAAAAAGGAGAATAACGTTCATGTGAAAAAAAATGAATCAGATGCTTCAGCATTCAAACATTACTCTTGCCGTATGTGTTTCTACCGTAATTTCGAAATCTTTGAATTGAAAACTCACTGTTACCCGGACTACAGATCTCATCCATAACAGCTTCGACTGGGAATTCTCAGCTTTCAAATACCAAACGACGTTTTCGCCCATGGAAATCGAGAACTCATTCTCATCGAATTCGTGAGCCTTAACAGATGTCCATAAAGTTGTTTAAACTACACTTTTCTTACGGCTATAATGGCATTTTTCAGAAATATGCTTCCTCTACAACCATGAGTTTTTTCCGCTTTCGATTTGAAATAAACCAAGTTTCCTTCGGTGATTTCAAAGTATCGCTCTTGCCATCCATTTACATAATTGGTCCATTTCTTTAACACACCGTTTGTTGGAAGGACACTGAAAACAATTTGAATATCACCCTGGCTATTTATAAAAAATTTTGACTGAGAAGTTATTACTAGCACAACACTGGAACACAATGAACTCACACTTCGTTTTCCATTGACTTCGTTCGCGAATTAACAAGATAGATGATAAAACTCTGGCTCTCTTTTTGAAAAATTTCCCCGTTTCCCCGCAGCTTGGCCCCCGTTTGTTCTGCAAACAATCCGCACGGTTTGGTAGGTAAATAGTTAGAAGGCAGTTAGAAAAAATGGGCGATCTTACATTTAGTCAAATCTAAACATAGAAAGTCGAAAGTGGCGAAGTGAGGCAAAACCGGTCTTTTGTACTGCAAATTTTTAAGGTCTGAAAGAAAATGTGTACTGCCAAAGATGTAAGCGGATCGTACGAGACATGAAAGATAATAGTTGTGAGCTCAAGTTCAAATTGATGCAGAATATTTCGTTCATTCGGAATACATACTATTTCAGATACACAAAAACAAAGAATATCCAATTTTGTTCTGTATATACACAATAACAATGTCCTGCTCGGTGGGTCACATTTGAGATTCTGTTAAACTTCGATTCACATTCACTCTCCCCTCTAAAAACCAGTTTTCACATTTTTTTCTATTGACAAGTTTGACATGTGCCCAGAATAAAGGAGGAGACAGCCGGTATTTTTTTTTCGGTAAAAATGACTCAGTAATCGCGCTCCCTTGAAATTCTGGCAGCAAGCCAAGTTTGTCGCATAGTTGGTCTCGGCACACATAGAGCTACGGTCACACTCGTTTCCCCTGTGTTGAAGTTGATTGAATGGGCGTCGGCTCGCTACTTGCTTCACTTGCGTTCGTCGCTGTCGCCTGTGCTGTTGACACCTGTTCCAAGTCGGATTGTCCGAAAATGAGCAACACCGAGAGAACCTTCATTGCCGTGAAACCTGATGGAGTCCACCGGTTAGTTAGTTTCTGAAAAATAATAGGAATCGGTATACCGTTTCGATTAAAATTTGTGTTTTCCAATCCTAAATTTCGGTTTTTAGTGGACTCGTCGGAAAAATCATCGCTCGTTTCGAGGAGCGCGGATTCAAGCTCGTTGCCCTCAAGCAATTGACTGCCTCGAAGGCCCATCTTGAGGTATTAAAAAATGGATTTTAGGCCAATGTTCGAATTTTATTTTTCAGGTTCACTACCAAGACCTTAAGGACAAGCCATTCTTCCCATCCCTCATTGAGTACATGAGCTCCGGCCCAATTGTCGCCATGGTCTGGCAAGGACTCGATGTTGTCAAGCAAGGACGTGTCATGCTCGGAGCTACCAACCCACTCGCTTCCGCCCCAGGAACTATCCGCGGAGATTTCGCCATCCAGACCGGACGCAACATCTGCCACGGATCCGATGCCGTCGACTCTGCTAACCGCGAGATTGCTCACTGGTTCAAGCAAGAGGAGATCAACGACTACGCCAGCCCATTCATCAACTCCTGGGTCTATGAATAAATTAATCGCTGCTGAACTCTGATGCGTAGCGATTATATCCTAATTTTTCGTATCTCTGCTGAACGTTGATAAAGTATTGCTTCCATCTGAAAAACATGTTGTTTGCTCGAAGGAATCGTTTATTCACGTCTTCTATGAAAAGATAATCTAAAGCTTTATCGTCATCAAATTATTTATTCAACCCGCTTTGAGAGGAAAGATTAAACATGAATAGACGATAAGATATTTATTGATATCAATAAGTTAGGGGTATTTATCGCGACTATGATCGGAATTCCGCGACCTGAACTAGTTTGTTGCTGAGATTGGTATTGTAAAAGTCGAATTCCGGATTGTCGAGATGATTCTCAAAGTCAGCAAGTTCTCGATATAGTTTCTTCCGGATGACAGCTTGTAATCCTCGCAGGAAATTCGACCCTTGGAAGATCGTTCTAAATTAGAAACCATTATAAAAAGGAGAAAATTCTGAAAACTTGCTTTGTTTCTTTCCAGCTTTCTCCATCTTTCTCGTAGGCTACCAGTCGATCTTGCTCACAGTCAGAGACAAGTCTTTCATTCATTACTTGTACAAGAACGGCTGGTGATGAAGTGACATTGGAGATTCTATCGGCAAGTCGGGTGGCATGCACGTTAAGGGAAGTGTCTGATGGGGTTGAATTAGAAAAGTAGACACCGACGAGTGAGGCTCCGAATTTTCCATGAACGAGAGAGGTAGCAAGTTCGAGCGGAGGTGCAAGTGGAGTAGATTCATGACTGAGAGGGACACATCCAGTGATCTGAAACTATATTTTTGACGACTCCACAATAAACTAAAGGTGGCTGTCCATTCATATTTTAACATCTGTCGAACTCCTATTAAAAATTCCTGATCACTTGCAGCAACATTTTTTTTAATCAGCAGAAATGTTATCAATAATAGAATAACGATTTTTCGGTGCCCGAGAAATAGTTTTCTGAAAATCTGAAAACATTTTTCGAGAACGATAGTCGTTTTCAGACTTGATTTCATTGATTTAAAGTCAAAAAATATTTTGAGACTTTCAGTTAACCGCTGATTGAAAACGCTACGGAATGTGAATTAATTTTTTCAGAAAAAATCTCAAGACGAATATTCATACCGTGACTTTATCTCCTTTCTTGTTGCCAATCAATAGTCCGAAGACGCCTTTCGACGGATACTTCAAACAATGAAGAATGATTGTTGAGTATGGAAGAGGTTGAGTTTCGACTTGGTACTTCATCTGGAATTGAAAAAAAATGGAACAATAGAGCTCATATAAATGAAAATCGGAAGATAAAAACAAATTGTGTTCATTTTTTCCTCTAAGTTAATCGTAGTCAGCTTAAGAGGATGATTGATAAAAGCTTCTTTGTATAGTAACCTTCATTTTCACTTCAAAACATGCAGATAAAAGTGGAAACTGCTGAATAGTTGGTGAAACAGAAAACACAGATTAAAAATCGTTACTTTTCATCGCGAATCGCGAGCGCGAATTTGAAAATGGAGCGCGTTTGCATTACCTTCCAGAGGTCGGGAGACCCCGCAAATTCCGGGGAAAGAAAAAACCGGGTACGCTCTCCCACAGAACATTTCCGAACTGCAAATTAATTTTTGATCTACAGAAAAAGTTTGGCGCGATCACAATTGCAGGTCTAAAACCATAATTTCAGAATTTTTTATCTGATTTTGTGGAGTTCCAAGATGATTCAAATGATTCTTTAAAAATTAATTAGTGGTTATAGATTCATGTATAGTCCTTTTCCGGAAGAAAAAATCTCAAAAATAGTCATTTTGAAAATTTTTTACAGAAAAAATCTATCTCCTCTTTCAGTTTTTGACATTTCTAGGAGTTCTATGGCTCAAAAAAACCGCAATTATTTTCTCTACATTTTCTATGGATGAATTTCTAATTTGTCTGATAAAACTTTTTTTATAATTCAAAAACCTCATGAAATTGCACAAAATTGCATTTTTGCGTTGTTTTTTGATTATAAAAAAGTCTTATCAGACAAATTAAAAATTCATCCATAGAAAATGTAGAGAAAATAATTTCGGTTTTTTTGAGCTATAG